ACTCCCTGTAGGTTGGTAGCTACATCTTTGCTTCCAGTTAAGTCTGATGCAAGAGCACTTTTGTATTCTAACTTGAGATGCCTTTTTTTCCCAAAGATGTTTGGAAAAGTTGAACTGTCACTCTAAATAAAGTGTGAATTGCACAGCAGCTATGTTTTTTGAGGAAAAAAAGGCCTGCTTAGTCACTTGTCCTTATCTCTTGAACAGAAGTCAAGGCTGTTTTGCAGCTATTAAACATAATGCATTAAGGGTAGTCTTTCACATCACTGATGAGGAAAATGGTTTTGAGTTAGCAAGAATGAGAAACAGCTAACTTGTATGACTTTTAATAATGTATTACTTTTTGTACTTGTCTTCACTGTGGCAACCTTCTGGAGAATTAAATCAGGTTTTTGTTCCTGCAGAGTAAAGTAAGAAAATAAACTTAGGTTACCATGGTATCTTGTGTGCTTAATCCAACTAGCAAAGGTGGGCATATTGCAGTAGTCTTTATTCTGCATCTGGGTTTCTGACTGCCAAAGAAAAAATGAAAGGCAAAGAGGAGACAACTCAAGCAGATTTCTACAGCAGTTTTTAGCAACTCTTTGGTAAGAGGAGTTTCGTTTTAACCTAATTTGTGGTACCTTCTGTAGGAAATAGTCTTAAATCCTATGGTTATAGACTGTGTTAAGTAAATATGATCAGTTTCTCGCCATTTCTCTACCTAAAATTCAATTAGCCACAGTAGGAAGCTGTAAGGTAGCCATTTTAAATATAGTGGACATTTCTGCAAATTCCGTGTTCTTAAAAATCATTTTACAATAAATTGAAAGTAAGCCAAATTTTGCAAAACATCTGTCATTTCAGGAATTGCATTTGCATTAAATAAGACAGTTAGCAGCCACTTCCCTTGAGTACACACCTTCAGCTCACAAAAGTCTTACCTCATCTGCCAAGCAGTGCTGTGATTTGTTCGGCCCTGGCTTGAATGCCCTGTTAGAATCATAGAATCATAGAATGGCCTGTGTTGAAAAGGACAGTAATGATCATCTAGCTAGGAGCCTTGGTAGGCTCATTTAACTTTCTGCAGGAAACGGTGGCATCTGTGAGCAATATCCAGCACTGCCAGGGGGCACTTTGGTGCCCTTGGAGGAATGGGTGCAAGCAAGAATTGTGAGGAGTAATAAAAAGGGAACATGTGGTTGCAGGGTTTAATTGCAGACTTGCACACAGTGTTTGTTATAGTTAAACATTACTTTTCAGACTTCCTATTCATAATGGAGATGTACCTATGAAAATGAATTAAAATGCCTAGCATATTAATCCTATGCATTTGCTCTGGAATTCCGGATAAGAAGTGAAGATTGTAGTAGTGATTTTTCCAATGAATTGTCTTGTTAGCAGACTGTGGTCAGATAGTATTAAAACAGTGGCTGAAACAGGCATATTTCAGTGAGACACAGGCCAATTGTAAATGTTAAAGTGGTTTCTATAAGAAGGCAGATGAGCATTTAATCCCTTCCCTATCAGCTGGAGGATCTTCCATGCTGTGAGCAGTTCCTAGTCACATGTTTCTGAATGGCTGTGTGTTATCTGTGACCTTACACAGAGCAAGAGAAAACAGATGTCTTATCGTTTTGCCAAGTTTCTTGCTTGCAATTTAGGAACAATTCCACACGCACAGCGAGGTTCTTGTTAATTTGTTTCAGATGATGGCAGAACCTTTCGCATTATGTAGGACTCCTGATCACCACTTTTCTACAGAAATGAACATTAGCGGTTGACCATTTCTTTCTCTTTTATGAGAAGCAGCATACCTTGTAGTCAGCTTATTAAGCCAGCTCTGCAAGTGCTACTTGGGGATAACAAGTTCATTGAGCTGAAGAAGCACTGTTCTGAAGGCACAGCTAAAGGTATTTGGTGAGAGAAGACCGATAGAAACTTGCTGACACCAATGGCTAAAAACAAGACTTCCTAGTTTCCTCAATAATGTGTGCTCTCATGTTGGCCCACAAATCCCGACATTGCCCATAATCTGCAGTGACCTGAGCACTTTCAGTGTCTTTCAGAACCCACTGAAGACCCTCCATGAGATACGAAGAGTCAAGCAATTTTCCTAAATCGTTTAGAAAAAAAGAGAAATTCCAATGGTTCACTGGTTTATATTCTAGTTTGTTATCCTGAGTAGGAATCTCTCCACTGACTTTAGTTATTCTTTGTGATCATTCTCCTAATGTTGTACAAATGATTTCATGAGATTTAACTTTTCTAAGGTAAAAGCTGATGATTATATGGTTTCATGGACTTTAACCACAGAAGAATCTACCTTTGAGAGCTCTTGCAATGATGGCTGTCTATAGGCAGGGTTTGAGTTAGATGCTTATTTTTGCAGGTATTTCATTGCACCCATTTGCTGAATTACAGAAAGTCAGATATCTATGGAGTTAATATTCTTTTCTAACACAGAACTGTAATAACTGTAAACCAAGTTATGGTGGGACGGATTTCAGTAAGGAAGGAAGTCACAAAACTTAATGTATTAAACTGCTGTTTGTCAGAGACAGACAGAGGGATGAGTGAAAAAGTTTGTCTCTCTCCAAACTTCCTGAATTTTTAACTGTTTAACCATTTTCTGTGCCAAATCCTTATATAAAAGCAAACATCTGTTTGTACAGTGCCTTTTGTGTTAGACAGGATAAAGTTGGATGGGGAGTCCTGGTTGTGGCTGCCATTTGGAAGTCAACTTGGAAATCCAGTGTGTTCTAAGGGAGAGGAAATTACTTACTTCTTATAGTCTCCCCACACTTACCCAGATAGCTGTTTTAAGATTCAATCTTATGGAGGTGACAGAAGCTACATGATGACATGAGAAATTAATGTAGAAGAGGAGGTGTTTTGCTAATGCTAATTAGAGGAGGTTATGCTAATAGGTATAATTTTTCTACTTCCAAACTGCATAAAATTCCAGATATATTGTATAAAGGAGTTTGGTCTTCCTTTATGTCTGCCCCAGTGGTATTATCTCAGTATCATAAAACAGCTATTTTGAGTACCAATGGCAATCTTTTTTTTTTTTTTTTTTTTTTTTTTTTTTTCCTCCCTTCTTCCCAGCAAAATTAAGAAGTGGATTAAATTAATTTATTCTGATCTATTTGCTTTATGGTTGAACCGCTGCCACTCCCCAGGGCTGAAGCATCTGCGGTGCAGTTATAACCTCTGTGCACTTTGGCATGTGTTTGTTGGCAATTAACTATTTTGTTCTGGGAAAATTAGAAGAGAATGAAATTCTGGCTACTATTCCACAATTTCTTCATGACAGCCTGATCATCTTAACTTCTTTTTGCCTTTCGTCTCCCATCTCAGCCTTCTTTACCATCTGTAAAAGTATCTTCCACTTTTTTTTCCACTGTGATAAGTCCCACTGAAGGACCAAAAGCAGAAGCAAACACTTGTAGGTCCTTTGTTGCTGAAATTTCTTTGAAAAGCCTTACGGAAATCTTTAGGCCCTTCTAACTGAATACAGATGGAAAAACAAAAACAGCAACAACAACAACAAAAAAAAAAAAACAAACCTTAAGCATAAGATTTGCTTACCTGTTTTAACTTTATTTTTTGGAGTGTAAGAATTTGCTTCTGTGCCTAATAGAACCAAGACTTAGCCATCTGGCCCTTTTTTCCCTAGGGAATGCCAGTCCCACCTGAGAGATGATATCCAGGACAGAAAACTAATGAATTATACAATTTATTGCTAAAGGTGCCGAGATATTATTAATACAAGGGCAGTTTAATGACAGATTGGTGTTTATTCTTTATAAGAAAGTATCACCACAGCTATAATCGCTTCAATAAATGCTTTAATTCCTGTAGGTGTTACAGGGTTTTTTTCATTTTGTTTTTTGTTTTGATTCAAACTTCTCTTAGCTTAACCCATTTGCACAGAATGAAAATATACTGAGGCTAATGTCAACAAAATCACATTTGTTTCATATCGTACTTTTCTAATGCCAGTAAAGTTCTTCTGAGTATTATACATGCTGTAGAGACTTAGGTCTATACAGAAAGCTACAATGATGATATCAAGCTTTTGCACAACTGTAAGGGCCAAATCATACAGATCTGTGTAGATTAAGAATGTATGTAGTAACAAGAGTACAGCCATCAATTAGCAATACGAGAAAGATGCAAGAGATGCATCCTTAACCACAACTGGAAAATCTGTTGACAAACACTTGAAACAATTGATTTCAACAGAAATGTTTCTTTGATTAAGATGGAATTTCTTGCTACATACATATACCACAAAAAGTAGATAGCCATAAGGTTAGCAGAATTGCAGACATGCCTACATTTGTCTCTCATATCTAATATGAGCCCTAATAACTTACTGGCTCTGTTGTTTTGTCTGTTCCTAGAGACATTTTTTGAACACTTTTTTATTGTTTCAATACATAATGTAAAACTATTACAAAAACTCAAACATGTTCATATATGAGAGAAGAGAGAGGGGTCCCACTTTTCTGTACATTAGGCTATTCTTATGAAAATATTTTGGCCATGTAACCAGTTTTAAATGCATTACCTCTTTTTTTCCCCATATTATTTTTGTATTCTCATTCTATAATTTTGTGTGTTTAATTTACATCTCTTTTTTTTTTTTTTGTAGTTCTTCCACCACTCTTGTATCTCCTTGTCATTTTTCCCTTGTGTTGATTTTGCTGCTACTTCATTCCAAAAGAATCTGAAACATGAAGTTGTAACATGCACTATAAATTAGTCAATTATTCACTTTTATCTTCACTTAAAAATGTCCTTGTCAGCAGTATTTAATACTAAGAGGAGGAGAGCTTCTCTTAGGAATGCAATATATAGTGACAGAAGATGAAGATTGCTAATGCTAGGGAGAATCATCTTTAAAGGTAAAACTATTTAGCAGTAGATATACGTAATGGCTCTTATATTTTGTGTTCAAAATGTCTTTCCCAATGCTAGTATAATAACAGCTGTTTTTAATTCTGTTTCAGCAACAAGAACAGGATCCAACGAATTTATACATTTCCAATTTGCCACTTTCAATGGACGAGCAGGAGCTTGAGAACATGCTTAAGCCTTTTGGGCAGGTTATCTCTACGAGGATATTGCGTGACTCGAGTGGGACAAGCCGTGGTGTTGGCTTTGCCAGGTACTTCAGTGTCATTAGCTATGTTGGCAGCGTTTTTCCCCTTGTTAATTGAAAAGGCCAGAATAGGGATATCTAGATACAAGAAGAGCTTTGCTTGTTTATCTTTTGCTTAGTAAAATGTGGCTGTGTCTCATTTTGCTTATGTGGCTGAATCTGAATCTATTGTTCTTAGTAGACAACTGACAAAAATAAGAGTTCATCTCTAGTACTTCCTCCTTGTTGTACTTCTCCTTTCTTCTCTATGCCTGAAGCAAGGGTTATGCAGTGTTTCACTGAAACGTCTGCTGTGACATTTGTCTTGTGAGGTTTGAATTCCAAACAAGAAGCCATAGGGAAAACCACCCCGCTATCCCCTCTTCTTCATTACTTCCTGTGAGAAAATCCACTCATCATCATTTCTTTTTGGATATCATTGCTTGGAATTGTCTGGTTCATTAACATCATTTGGGAAAGAAAATATTTGTATTCATTTACATTAAATTTTACCTTGAAATATTTGGCAGCTTGATTCAGTACACATCCTAAATCAACAAGAATGAACATTTTCCATAAATTAGTGTATGGCTCCCATGTATTCCATTTGTGTGCAACCGCCTTTTCTGTAATTAATACAGTCATTTGTTGTGGGGCTTCCTCACCTAAGTTTTCTCTGTATCTTTCTGGTATTTTCCCATCTCTAATTAAGACCTGCTTAATGTGGAAATCAAAATTTGGAGACTTTAGATTGGAGTTTTCCATTAACGAAAATAGGGGAGTGCTATGTGCGGGTACTGAGAAGGGCAGAATCCAGTAACATTCAAGCTAAGATTTGGTAGGCTGTGTGCGTTTATGCATTCTTTTTTCTCTAAACTTGCTTACTAATTCTACCTGGAATCCACAGTGGTATTTTATGAATTCTTTTATTCCGATATAGCCAGAAGAGTTTTAAAATTCTGTGCAGAAGTCTTGTGTGTATTTAAAACCTTCCTCCTAATGAAGGTGTTATGGAAGATAAGTCTTAAAACGTTTTGTTAATAGATTTTGTGTTATAGATTGTGTTATTATGTGTACATAGACATTGAGTGTTATCTGTATTTATGTGTTTGTTATTTTTAGATACATGTATACATAATACAGTATTTACAGAATAAGCTGTTATTGTGATATCGTTGCATAAATATTAAAGCTAAAAATATTCACTTTCAAATTGTCCAAGAAACACATAAACATAAAATAAAGATTATCATTTCTTGCCTGTGGGAGCATTTCACCAGGTGGATAATATAGACAGACTCGAGTCTGAAACTAAATAATATTGTTTGTTTCATCTGAAAGAAAAAAATTACAGTTCTTTGGTTCAGATCCAAAAATCCAGAACTTCTGTAAATTCTCTAGAAGGTGGTTTTGAAACCACAAAGAAAACTGTTTAGTCTGACATTTTGATGTTTTTGGTTCTCATGTATGATGACATCTCATGGGTCTGTGCAGAAAGGCTATCAGAATTAAAAAGGTGCCAAGGCTTAACTTGTTTGTAGTGCTGCTGCTTTGCTGCTGAGGTCATTGGGCATAATTTTTGGATCCACATTAAAGAACTCAGTGAGCAAATGAAAAGAAAATCCTGTTAACTTTAAACATTATCTTTCAGACAGCTGCAAAATGTATTCTATTAAAACGCGTTTCACTTTACTTGCACATCTCGGTAATCTGTTCCAATTTAGTCCAACTTGGTTGTTAGAGCCGACACATCTACATTGCAATTAAGGATGTAGCTGCAACCTGTGGAGCCACTCCCAGACCAGCAGTAGCTCAACAGCAATCCACCCAGTCTATTAAGGCTAGTTTTGACAACAGAAGTGCACTAACCTGTTCAGGATGCTGGATTCTCAGTAACTGCCACAGCTGTTCTGTTATTGGTTCCTGTTTGGAAGGTAACAATGATTAAATGAGGGACAGGTACATGGTTTAGTTGTGATGATACATAGAAACTAAAAAGTTCAAAGGCAGTTTGGGGCATGCAGTCAAGCACATTTGTGTCTGACTTAAACAGTACAATCATTTCAGTATCTATCAAAAATGGCATTAACTATTTTTGTATGCATCATGTATGCTTAGAATTTAATTAAGAATTTATATCAATCTACTTTTTTGAAAAGCAAAAGCACTACAGTTATCTGCGTTTTTCCTAATTTCTGAGTAAATTGGAGTATTGTATTTGCAGTGTGTACTGCAATACTGCAGTATTTGCAGTATAAATTTGCACTGTACCTTTGACCTTAAACTGTGTAAATTAAAAAATATTAGCTGTGTTTTGTTTTTAGCTTTCTGAAGTAGTATATTCTTACAAAACATCATCTTCGTTGCTCTAATGGGAAAGTAGTCACAAGAGTGAAGTAAAAAAAAAAAAGTAAAAAAAAAAAAAAAAAAAAGTAAAAAAAAAAAAAAAGAAATGTGCATGAAAAAAGGCAGGAATATGGAAATCTGAGCATTTAATTTATGTAAATTATTCTTTATTTTCCTAGGATGGAATCAACAGAAAAATGTGAAGCGGTGATTGCTCATTTTAATGGAAAATTCATAAAGACACCAGCAGGAGTTTCTGGTATGTTGCATGTATTTCTAATGAGATGAATGGATGGGTTACTGCTTACATAGTGGGAGCCTGTTAGACTGATTGTTGTATCTGGCTTCTCATTGAGAGGCAGCCTTATAAAAATTAAACTGTTTCTTGTTGGATGACTGTAATAGTTGCTCACTTGTAACGTGGTAGATCACTTCCCTACTCTAATTCTTTTCTAGGAATCTATCCTCATAGCACGTAGATGACCACCTAAGATGCCTTAGGCCAGTTACACGCAAATTATATCCCACATAATTCCAGCTGAAGTCAGGAGACCAGGATGTGTTGTATGTGCATCAGAACTGAATTTGTCTGATTTTCCATGAGCAATTTATCTATATAAAGAGGTGAAAAATGAACTGCTTTTGCAATCTGTTGATTTTTTCCAAACTAAGCGTGAAAAAAGATTTGATTAAAAAAGTTTTTGATTAAAATTTGATTAAAAAATTCTGTAACAGTGCCTTTATGCCAGGCATTTTCATTCACTGGGAGTTTTTACTCTCAAGTCAGAGCAGGCTTTGAGGTTCTTCAGGAAGGTGAAAGGAGGTCAACAAAGATAATTCTAGAAATATTGTGCAATGCAAAATGCAGAGATGCTGCAGTTCTTTTGTCACATCAAGTTCCCCAGTGTGCCATCAGTGTGCCAGTGTTTTGTCAGCATTGTTTCTAAAATATTAAACTTAGCATTCCATTAACTCAAAAATGAGGAAAAGAAATTCAGAGCAGCAGAGTAAAACAGAAGGAAATCAGGATAACATCAGAGAAAAGAATGCATGCCTGACATTCCAGCCTGCTTTTGGTAGCCATTTTATTGAGGGTCCCAAGTGAGAATTTTACAAATTATATAGTTGACGTGGTTACTGAACCACCTTTATACCACTGGTGGAATGTTTGCCAGAGCCTGACCTTGGCACAGAGAAAGAGGGAAGCAGCCATCAGCAGGCAGAAAAGAATCCAGCTTGCTCAGTAAGGCTGCATACATGCCTCATCCCTAAAAGATTACTCCAGTTTGAGGCAGTCTGTGCTGCGGTAGGGATGGCAAGCTACTTCAGAGCACAGGAAACCACTCCCTTCACCAGCACTAATCTAATGCAGGGCTTTGACTTTGCTGGCTTTTGCAGACCCTCTGTGCTGGGATTGATTGTCAAGGCTACAATTATTTTGTTGAAACTTTGTTACGTGTAGGGGCTTTAACATTCATTTTTCTATTTCATATATTTAGCAATCTGTTTTATGAAGTGAAAAATCCCTCTAGGGGCAAAGAGATAATGGGGTGATTTTCTCTGAACGTTGACTGTGCTCTGATCCGCCCCCCATGATTATTTTTACAGTGCTGCTATTGCTTGGACATAATTAAGAGTAAGAAGTACGGAGAAACCAAGAGTTCAAATTAACATATAGGGGTTCTGTTCAATTAGAGCCAGTAAAAAGCTGTAATAGAACTTCCTATTAGTGTTTTTAGTGTGCTTATTCTCACTTGCTTTGTGCTGTTCTCAGTGAGTGAGCCATCGAGTGTATCGCATTAACCATATTCTCAGTTAAATGAAATGAGTTGCATGTGCCATGGTGCTGAATAACTTTACAAATGACAAGGTGAACAGGGGAGTCATGTAAAGCAAGATCCCTGATGCTGTTGTATGGACTATAGCCTCAGCTGTCTTTAGCTGTACTTTTCCATGCTGGTGCTGTGAAGTTTTGTTGCTCCATGGAATGGTTTTTATGGAGTTCAGTTTCTTCCTGGAGGTCCTCACCACACAGCAGGCATGTGTCCAATAGTGCAGGCTTATGAGAGGCTGCAGCTTGACAATACCCTATGTTCTGCCAAAAAGTGGGGCAGAGCCATGGGGCAGCTGTGGTTTTAGGCTACCTGCACACAGAGAGGGGGATTGCAGCAGGGAAAGCTCTTGCACAAACAAAGGTTAGGAAAATGTTTCAAAATAGATTAGCATCTTTTGGGGTTACAGAGCAGCAAGTTCAAATACATAGAAAATAAAACCGTGGAACAGGAACTATGTTTAAATTAAAACGTTGTGTCCTCAAAACTTGGCTAAAATCAGCAAAGGGAGCTGGCTATAAAAACACTGTTATCAGGACAAGGAGGATAGGAGAGAAGTCCTGTAATGAAATAGGTGTGGGAGGAAGAACATCTGTTTAACAAAAACATGCTTTCATAATGCGTCTTTGTTGTTTTAACTAAGTTTGGGCTTAAAAAGTAGAATGGGTTAAACACGGTTATGAGAAGCATAGGAAGACTGAACAGAAATTCCTTTGTGAGTCTGCAAGGGCCAAGGGTAGCATAGGGCATTCACAAATGCACCGAATGTAGAACTTCTGAGTGACAAAATGCCTCACAGTGAGCACTGATGATGTGAATCAAGCTGGAGCCAGGTGCAACAAGCTGCTCAGACTTTACTTCCCTACTCCATAGTAGCTTAATGAAATACATTCAGTATTTAGTGTGTCCTTGTTTGTCTTCTGTCAGGAAGTAGAAAGTTTCACTCAGAATTTCAAATGCACTGCAAGTTGGTATGATCCTACAGCTCCTAGAAATGGTGCATTCATTTCGCTGCTTGCTCTTGCCTGGTGTTTGTACTTTCATTAGGCACGTCATTGCAATACTTTTTTCTGATTTGTGGATTGTTAAATCTAGTCCATTTCTCTCAGAGCTTTGATTTTTGTATTTCATACCCTTCTGAACTGAATATTTATGCTATTGCTATACTCATGAAAAGTACTTTTGCATTTAGTTCTTCTCTGTAAAGAATTACTGATTTCAGTGAGTTTTTTAAAGCTTGTCTTTTTCTATGAAACATAAACCTCGTGAGGTACATAGGAAGAAAGAGAGATTAAATCCTTACATTGAGCAAAACACAGAAGAAGAAGAATAGTGAGGGCAGACGTAGCATACTTCTAGCATCCTTTCTTTTAAAAATATATTTAATATTTCCTATCTCTGTGCTTTGTGCTGGATCTATAACAATTGCAGAAATGATCTGCTGGGTAAAATCATGAAAGGCATCTCCTCCTTATTGCACAAGCATGTAGCTGCATGATAATACATGAGAATAATTATATAAATAATTACATAAAGCAGTTATTCTGTAGAATACGTAAGGACACACCAAGGTATGTAAGTTTGAGTGTATTCATCTTTCTTAACTTTTTTATTATAAGGTGAAGAGTTACAAGAGCTTTCTGCCTCTTGAATTATTTTGTAGCTCTTTTACTGAAAGGAGCTTCTTTGTTGTTTTGCATATATGCATTTTTTTTTCAGTGGAAAAAAGGCAGAGATCATTCTTGCTAAGCAACCCATAGTATTTTTACTTTTGCTCCAGAAATGATCGGTGACAGCAACGACCCAGAGGTCATAGATTATCCATGTCCCACCCTCCCCTTCCCTTTTGCAGCAGACACTGATCACTTGCACTTTGTTTCAGGGAGAAAGCTGGGGACAGGTGTGAGAGCCCTGCTCATGCAACGCTCTTAACATAGGCCAGGGAGAAGCGTACCAGGTGTGGCAGACACTGTTTGAAATGGTTTTGATCTTGATTACCTGTCTAGTGCAGGAGAGGAAAGAAAATGGAGTACTGAAATTCTTATTTGCTTACCTCTGAAATTATCCAGAAATTTATTGTTGCAGAAATCTATAAAGTGACTTCAGCCATTTAACCATAAAGTCACATTTCTTAGTCATCTTTCACAGATCCTTTAGAAATAATCTACTATCCACAGTCTGAAAGCCATAGCCAAAGGGTATCAAGAGGTCATTGTGGTGGTGTAACTTCTGATTGTCACACTGAAGGCATCAGAACTAAGATTTTACCCATTAAATCAAAGATGAGGAGCTTTTCCTGCTTTTGTTCTCATAGTTTGTAATTGCTCCTTAGTTTGAAGCATCAACATTGGAAATGAAAAGAAAAATACTTATTAAACCACTCAAAATATCAAAATGTCACTCTTGCGACAAATTATTAAGACCTGTGTAAATTATTAAATAAATGTAACCCTGAATGCTGTGTATAAGTGAAGATTAGGATAGTGTGAGGAATATGTATTTCGTTTCTCTTGAAACCTACAAAGCTCCTGATATTTGATATCTTGGATTGCACAACCTATTTTTTAATTCCCACTTCTTTTGGCAGAAGTTTCTAGTTGTACAGGCTTGCCATATCATTAAAGTGCTGTTTTAATGTTGAAGTTCTTTAATCTCATGTGCTTTGTCACTAGCAAATATATAATGAAAGTCTTTTAAAAGGTGTAGTTTAACAGAAAACTCATAATGAGAATAGTATTTTAAAACTCGTGTTACATTTTTGAATATCTGAAAGCAGAGATTATTGAAATGTTGTCAAATTAGCCTTGTAAAGTCAAGAGTGCGAACATGAAGCCCAGTTGTATCACTTGGTGTGTATTTGGGTAAACGCTGAGCAGACAAAAGCTGAATTCTAATGGACGCATGTGCACAACAAGTATGGCAGGGAAGTATTTTTTTTCTACTCTAACATTTTGTTCATTCATTTCTTCTGTAAAGATATTGGTGTTGGAGGGCAATTCAGGGCAGGGGAATTGCTCTGCTCTTTCCACAGCCAGGTTTCAATGCACTGAAAAGTGTGTGGTTGTAGACTGTTTCTGCAGCAGTATCTCATCATCTCCATCCTACTTAGGTGTCTGCTGGTTTTCATTAAGCGTCAGCAGAGTGGGCATTTTCCGTGTCTTAGCCAGAGATGCATAAATTCACTGTAAGTCATAGCCTTTTAAATCAGCCATCTCTTAGCTGTGAATGCTACTCCAAATATTTATGCTGTGCCTCCCTGTCTTGCACATACAGACAAATCACCGAGTGAATAACAGTTCCCTTCATCTGGGCCTGAACGCTTCCCAACAATTAAACAATAAAAATGATTCTCCCTTCCTTCCTGGACCACAAAAAAAAAAAAAAAAAAAAAAAAAAGATTGCCTGACTGGTCTGTAGGGCTTGCTGCAGCTTTTTCTTGTATATATGTAATACATTCATGTTTATATGTGTTAGAGAGAGAACATCCTACATATCTTAGGAGAAATAGGAGGAAAGCTAAACTGAAGAAATCAATTTCTGAAGGGCTGTGATTATTCTTCTGTAAGAGGGAGATCAGTAGATCCTACTCGGCTCCTGCAAAGGGTTATCTCTCCTGAGCCTTCTCTGATGACCACCAGTCATTGCATTCCTAAAGCAATCATAGAATAGAGGAGGGTAGCAGCTGCCTGTGAGCAGCCCTTGCAGCCCAGAGGCAATGCTGAGTGTGGAGGGGATGAAGGCTCTCTGGCCCCACAGCAGGAATTGTGTGCCAGGAGCTTTGGGCTTTCACTCTCCCTGAAGCCATTTGATCTTCAGAAAACATGCTGTGCCATTCTGCTTCGGTCTCTACTCTCACCCACCCCAAACCTTCAATGAACATGAGTAATGCTCAGGTCGCAAGGAGAGCAGCCAAAAACCGAGGCTTTTCACTGCAGATGTCCTCCTTATCAGCATTTAGATCTTGAACTGGAATCAGGGAAGATGAAAGCTATACAGCCTTCTCAGAGCAGTTGGTGATATGAAATAGACAGCCCACTGCTTTTTTTTGTTTTTCTTTTGATGCGAGCTGCATCGTTTGGCATTGTTTATAGACACAGTGGGGACTGTGGAAAAAGGTGGAAGGTCAGAAACATAAGGGTTCCCATGACCAGATCTGTGCTCAATAAGATGGAGAGCAAACTTCTGGCAAATCACAAATAATTGCCTTAGTTATTTGGGGATCTTTTTCTTTGTCCTTTCCTTTTTCCTTTCCTTCCTCTCCTACCTCTCCTACCTCTCCTTCCTCTCCTTCCTTTCCTTCCTTTCCTTCTTCTTCTCTTCTTCTTTTTCTTCTTTTTTTCTTTTCATCTTCCATCCCCTCCTCTTCCCCTTCCTCTTCCCTTCTTTTCATCATTTAAAATTAAGTTGTATTCAGTCACCTAATGACAAAAATGTCATTTATTCTGAAAATAGGTTTTTTTTTTTAAATGAAGTTTGTGTTCAAACAGTTGAGCAGATTTGCTCCTACTTTCCAAAATAAATGATCTTTATCTTGAGACAATGATGGGAAATGTAAGCTCAAATAACCCTTACAGGAGAGTTTTGTACAACGCACTCTGGAGACTTCTAATGAAGACATAATATAGTTTTAAATAAAGTGTTTATTATTCATGAGTGCTGTAATACTGAATCACAGGTCTAGAAACCTCTAATATTATTAGGTGCCTTTGTATGCTGTTCTAGAGACACTTTTTTTTTTTTATTATCTCTTCTAAAAAATTAGTGTGTATTTTGGAAGTCACGTGTGCTTCTCACCATAATAGATGGTTTGAAATAATTCTTTTGAAAGGGTTGATAACTGCAGGACAAGGGGAAATGGTTTTAAGTTGAGGGAGGGGAGATTTAGGTTGGACATCAGGGGGAAATTCTTTACAGAAAGACTGATGAGGTGCTGGAACAGGCTGCCCAGAGAGGTTGTGGATGCCCTGTCCCCAGAGGTGTTCAAGGCCAGATTGGATGGGGCCCTGGGCAGCCTGGTCTAGTATTAGATGGGGAGGTTGGTGGCTCTGTCTGTGGCAGGGGGGTTGGAGATTCATGATCCTTGAGGTCCCTTCCAACCCTGGCCATTCTGTGATTCTGTAATTCATAAATAGCTAGATTTCTACTCAACTTGGCAAATGGCTTTTTTTGTTTTGGGTACTTAACTGCTTGTATTGTAGTGTTCTCTTTCTGATCTTTTTCTTCACCATGTAAAATCAAGGAAAAATAATCTCGGACCACACCCTGATATCTTTAGCCATGTTCAGTAACATGTGATTAACTTCCACTTATTCCAGTAGAATTTAATGCAGATTAAAATGCTCTGTTACATGAGCAATATCGACTTGTCCTTCAGTCTGTTGATACACTGCATTTTTGCCACAAATATGCAAAGAATACTCTTGATAGAAGACCCCAAAACAGAACTGTTCTGGTAATGCAAAAAAAATCCCTTTAGAAATGGAAAATTTTGAAGAGATTATTCTCCAGTTTCTGTCTCCTACTTGAGGGTTTCTGGTACTTCATTGCTCATTTACTTCACCCTCCATAGTCTCCAATATTTTTCCCATTTTTAGCCTAAACTTTTCCTAGTTTATTTTATGGTTATTGGATTTTAATGTTTTTTTAATGATTGTCGCTGTAAGACAATCCATTTGAATTTAATTCCATTGTTAGGTACAATGAAGTCTGACTCTCTGAGATAAAAGTTATGTGGCTGCTGAATAGCAGCGTATGATCCACAGCAGTGCAGATCTCTGAAGGACACGTGATCCATTCTGGGATGAGACGAGCAGCCACGCTCCAACTCTGCCTCCCAGTCCATCACCTTTCCTATAGAAGGCTGTCAGTGATGTATCATGTAGAAAATGCATATTTTTTTTCTCAGTGGAACCAGACCTAGTATTTCATGTGTACTATTCAAAACCAATGATGACTTGGCTGGCAGTGAGTTGTGTTTTGGCTGTGCCAGTAGTTTGGAAGTCAGATTCTGGGCTGGGTTGTTGGTCCCCTGAGGTTTTCAGTACTCACTGTTCCTCTGACTTAGGGAAGTACCAATGGTCCTTTTTAAATGCAGGCATAATGAAGGGCATGTCAGTGCCGGTCATGGTTTTACTAATAGATTTTATTGCAGGATATAGATATGCTAAAATTTTCCTCTGGGATGATTTTTTACACACAATTCCCCCCAACCCTATGTGTTTACTCTGCACTGGGACGTTTGCACATTGTCAGATCCGGCCTCATCTCATTCAGGTGTTTCCAAACAGAGAACGGCTCAGAGGAGTGTCACCTTAAAGCTTAGACAGCTCATGTCTCAGGAATTACTGGCAGAGAAGTGTTCACATCCAAGTCATAACAGAGCTTCCACCCTGTGATTAGAGAGGGTGTGGTGTTATGTGGCTCTGTGCTTCAGCCACGGGTACACAGAGCTGTTGCAGCTTAAGCCAATCTTAAGGAAAGAGCACTGTGCTAACTTTTGTTTTTTTGATTGATTGCATTTCAGGCGTTGAAGTTGTGGTAAGGATTATGTTATACCAAAACTAAAAAACATATAGCGACACCATTTAATGGCATTTTGCAAAGAATGAGATAAAAGAAAAATCTTGAAGAGCTTGTGGTTGCATTGCACGCTCTTTATAGATCAGAGATAGAAAGGGAATGGAAAGTTGTGTCATTTTTTCAGTGCAAGGTGACAGGAGATAAAGGTGTCCAATCTATCTGGCAGATGTGACTAAGTGGAAGTACAGTGTAGCTCTGGTCATTCTTGATGAGCAGAACTGCTTGAAGCTTTGGGACATTACTGAGCCCTCCAAGAAGAGGAGAAATATTTGAAAGCCATTTCACATACGTTCTTCACCTTCTGTACTTGTACCTTCCTGTATATGAATAGTTCTGCAAGTAATACTCTTCCTTCCTTCTCAGTTCCTGCAGAACCTTTGTTGTGCAAGTTTGCCGATGGAGGACAGAAAAAGAGGCAGAATCAGAATAAATACATACAGAATGGAAGAGCATGGCACAGAGAAGGCGAGGTGAGACTTGTAAGTCCTCCCTTCAAGCTCTAGTGTGGGTGTACAATAATGAATACTTATGGAAATGATAGGCATTGAGACTTCTTGGCTCGGCTCTTTGGCATATTAAAAATATGCAAGCAGCCCTCAACTGACAATTTGCAACTCTATAAACTGCTTAACTGTATCTTCCTTAAGAGAAAAAAAAACAAAATGTAAAACATCAAATTGTATCTCGTTAAAGTGAACACTGAAATCTCCTTTGCTTTGGTCAGGAGTATATCTGAAATATCTCTGATATTATAAAGCTATGTGAAACGTAACTTTATTTACATCTAGTAAGAAATCCCTTTTGTTCATGCAGAACTGAAGCGCACAGCCATTTTTGAAGGTTAAAACAGTGCAGTGCAGCGTTAAATTTTTCCGTTTGTTGCAGCTTTTTTTTAATCTTTAATATTCAAGATAATACTTTCATAGGTTTACTGTGATTACCAAGCCAGGATACCTCATATGTATGAAACAACAAAATTCAAATGTGTCTTCTGAAAAGTGGGCTCCTTGTTCGTTTTTATAGTTAATATGTTGTATGCCTAATGTAGCCCTAGTGTAATCATCCTCATGCTCTGCCTCTCAAATATGGCACATGTTATCTAAGCCAGGTATTTTATAGACTGCATTTTTGTTCTTCTTGATGGAAACTTTTTGGCCAATATTACAGACTCTCTTTACTTATAATTACTTCTGTCAATTAACCTTTCCCTAATTGTAGGATAATCAACTGTATCAATACAAGTTTTCAGCTAAAATTAATAGTAATTAATGAGTATGAGAAATAATTTACAAGCAAAATGAATTATGTCAATTCTCTTTCCACTTATTTTTTTTAAAGGCTGGAATGACACTCACTTATGATCCAACAACAGCTGCTTTACAAAATGGGTATGTTAAGTGCTGGCACACTAAGAAAAAAATATTTGCATTATGAAATATGCATAGAACTGGCATTTAATAAATATTTCTATATTTTCTAGATTTTATCCTTCACCCTACAGTATTACAGCAAACAGAATGATCACTCAAACGTCTATTACGCCATATATTGCTTCTCCAGTTTCCACATACCAGGTTTGTATTTAGAACTTAGGAGCTTCAGTGATTCATTGGAGCTTGTGTTTATTTATCAGTTGCTACATCTGGTTCTCTGCATTCTCCAGTCATGCTGCCTTTTAATGAAGGGCCCTCTTCACACTGTACAGCATGAAAATGAAGGCCTTAAAAACTGAAGGTGTGTTTGTTGCAGGAAGCATAGCAAACTAATGGGGTGCCAGTTGTCTTGCCAAAAACACTCTCTAAATTGTGGTGATGGCTAAGAGTTTGTAGCCACTTCTGCATTTCATGTATGATTTTCCATTTTTTCTTCATCCAATTCTTTTATTATCAATAATTCACCTCTAAAGTAATTATTCTTTATTTAAATCCTTTTTGGTTTACTGAAGTTTTATTTCAGAGATATCTCTCCACGGTTTTGAACATTTCTGTGGGTGGTTTCAGAGCAAAAAAGCCCAGCAGTCATGTACGTAGGTTGGTTAAAAAGGCTGCAGAAACTTGCTTAACATTAGAGAAGAAAACTTGGAAAGGAGTTTGGAGTTCAGATTGTATGGGCATTATCACAGTGTTACCTAAATGATTACCTATCTGGCATTTTACTATTTAACACACAAGTTTTCTACCTGTGGACCATCTGGTTACTGTGCAGAAGTAACCATGTCCCCTCCCATTCCATTTGAGAAGAGTGAGGAAGAATTGTCCAGTATTAAGTCTGGAGATCTAATGCCTTCTTGCTCCAACAGAGTGTTATGTAGGAGGTGCTCTCTGGGATAAAGGGCAGCTGGATTAATTTGGAATTAATTTCTGAGATGATTTATGCAACACAACGTTTGCTCCTGGCAGGCAGTGTCACTGATGTATTTTTCAGTATATGGAGTCATTCTGCTTTGTACAGCAATATCTCAAAAACTGCAGCAAGCTCATACCCAGAAAAGCATTATCAGAATTTTTTATTAAAATATAAATTATGAATCAACAGGAGACTCTTGAACGTTCTGAGTCCAAGTAAAAGTTGAAAGTTGGCATGGAAACATGCTTCTTGGGAGCTTGGGATCACTGCTGGGCTTAGTGGGAGAGGTGGGCGACAGTAACGCGCGTTTCTAAAAATGTCATAACCAGTTTTTGTTGTATGTCACACGGAGCTTAAATAGGTGTGGATGGAGTTATTGACGTCATGATTCTTAAAGTGCTACAGTAATACAAATTGAAAATGAAAGGGAAGCATTCTATGGTAGGGAGGGAGGAGATTCTTGTCCAGAAATATTTCACAATTTGAGCATTAGTCACATCATCATTAGTGATCCATCCCACTGAAACTCATTGCAGCGTTCTGTCATCTACACAACAGAATGTATCATAAAAGCATAATTTATTTATTTTTTCTTTGGGGCATGCTATAACCTGTTCCTAGATTTATTCTTATTAAAGGTAAACAAATTTACTAAAGTTTTGGCTAGTGTTTGTTTCTGCAACTCCTGTATACCCAAATGACATCACTAAGCCAGTTACTATGATAGCATGAGAAGATTAGCCAAAGCTTTCGTCAGGCTGTACCAGAATTTTTGCCATTAAGCTTTTGCCTGGGGAAAGGGAGGGTTCAACTGTTCTACTTTTTACCATTCAATTTCTGAACACCTTGTTACATTTTTACTGATTAAAAAATAATCTTAAAAAAAAATTGCTCTGAACTGAAAATGAATGCAGAGAGGACGGAAGAAATGTTTCCCGCCTTGTGTTTTTTTGCTCAAGACAGTCTGTCTGCCTGTCCTATTCACAGGACACTGGGAAAGAAGGTGAAAAGTTTCAGGGGTTTTAAGTTTCCAGCAGCAATGGTGAGTCAGGTCTGCATGCCCCATGCAGGTCAGATCCTGCCTTATCCTACACACATGGCACTACCGGAGATGAAAAAGAGACATTGTCATCTTGCCTTTCATATTTCTTGCAGCACGCTTTTTCAAAGAGCTGTTATAACCAGCTCTTTTTAAATAAGAAAACCATATAACCAATTAGTGTACTCTTCACTCCTTTTGATTTACCTTGTCATGTGAAGTTAGGCAACCTGCCTTAGTTTAAGCATCTGGATAATCAGGTTTTTTGGAGAGAAAATACGCTAGCTGCAACAAGAGGGGAATAGTAGAGTATTAATTTGAAGTGGATAATAAAATACCAATTTTGTTCCAGGTTCAGAGTCCTTCTTGGATGCAGCCTCAACCATATATAATGCAGCACCCGGTAAGTTTTTATACTTCTCCATTGTGGTGTAAACAATTTGCATATTTTAAACAACAGGGAATAGGCCACTTCCAACCCCATTACTTCCAGATAATTGACAATTACATCATAATGATTAAATCATGGATGAAAACGGGAAAGAGAAAGGATTGTGATAACCTGAACTGAATCTTTTTATTAGGAAAAAAAGAAAGCTGCCTTCAGGGCATCGACATGATGAGTAAAACTAGATTTACCATGTTGGGATCCTGAGGAGCCTTTCTTTCCTTTCTGAAAATCACGAGCACTTTGCAGTTACCAATGCTTTACATACTGTGTACCAATAGGAAGCTCCAAGGTTTTAGAATAGATCTAGAGTTCAGTCTGGATTATCTGTGACAGACAGATGGACGTGGTGATATGAAATGGCAGCAGGGGCACTCACTTGAGACAACCTGGATAACCTGTTCTGGCTTCACTGTGCATGGGTAACACTACTCTCCCTATACGTCTGGCTGTGGCATCTATACCAGACTGACAAGTTCTAATCTGTTCTCTCGCATGTTTTGCTTCTTATCTATGTCATTTGCCAATTGAGTGCTATTATATCTAAGAGTTATAAGGTTTCTTGATAGGAGAGTTACAAATAATAACAGGCCCTCCTATAGTGAAAAACAAGTCTGTTTCCAGATATAGAAAAGATATTGTCCTGATGTCAGTTAACTTCTCCATGCAGAGTACAGAATGTAAGTCTGTGTGGCCAAACATTTCCTTGTGCGTGCAGAGAAGGCGATATTGAGCCTGGCCTCCTTCTCACGCAGTTCACTGTTGTTGTATTTGTAATCTTTGAATGTTAAACACACACACAAACTGGTTTTAACTTTTCTGTCAACTCGGAATTTCCTAAAAGCCATCTTGCAAATTAATGCTGTAGGAGACGCGAGTTAATATGTTATAGCACCGTGAGATTTATCTGTTTTGAAGATATGCACTATGAGATTTCGTAGCTGAAAAATAACAATCTAGTTTTTTGACGTAAGTTTAGTTTTGGTCTGTGCAGAAATTGGTGCTGTCTTACTCATTTGCTTTGCAGAGAAGCCTGCAGTCTGCAGACAGGAAATTCTTTCAGTGTTTGATGTGCCTGTGACTCATTTCATCTACGCTGGTCACATGGTTGTTTTTCCAACTACACTCCGTAGGGTTGGTTGGTTTGTTTTTTTCTTTCATTTTAAGGAATAGATTAAAAATCCTAGCTTTCAGTACACTGTGGTTATTGCTGATGATTTTGACCCTCCATCTATTTTAATCAACACTTCTGCAAGCATAACTCATACAGAGTGCTTGGAAATATATTTTTGCAGAACATGATTAGTAAAATAAAATCAGTTGATAACCTTCAATTTCAGATAACTCTGAAAACCTGACAAGCGTGCCTTGGCCTATTTAGCAATGTTGAGTTTTTTAAAAATGCTCACACCTTTGTAACTTTGTAAAGTTAGCAAAGTGGCCCCAGAGCCATAGAGCCATTCTGGCAGCTAGTGTTTTTATAGATAACCAAGTCTTTTTGCAGTTCTGCTGACCCCCTCATCTAAAATTTGTCTTGTGTGTGAACATGACATATGCAGGTAACATTCCCCTACCACAGGTGTTCCTCCAAAGCCTCTATTCCTAAAAATGGGACAAATGCTTCTTAAGGCCTGAAATTCCAAAGCTCAAACTAAGCGAATCTGTACCTAGTAATGTGCCAAGTTTTACTGTGAAGTTAACATGTAACTCGTGTTTGCAGCAGGTGTCTCAAGTGCATTGTGTATCTGTTTATGCTCAGTAGGAAGTCAGTGCAGTACTTACCCTGTGACCAAGCTGTGCAAAACGCATCCCTGTTAGAGTGCCCAAGAGCTGTGTGCTGAGTCAGTCAGTACCTTGCATTAAGGAGAATTCATGCAGTACATCCCCTTGAAAGGACAGCACCTACTTAGACTCTCAAAAAACATAATTAAAACCTGATTGTTGCCTTCATCATTTCTTTCTTTGTTTTCATAGGGTGCTGTACTGACTCCCTCCATGGACCACACCATGTCACTACAGCCTGCATCAATGATAAGCCCTTTGACGCAGCAGATGAGTCATCTTTCATTAGGCAGTACTGGAACAGTATGTAGCAATTAAATACAAAATAGAACTTTTGCAAGTGAAAAATGTTGTGTGTAGATAACAGTATGCGCGTACATTTACATGTAAAAAAATCTTCACTCGATAAAATATTAAGAACTGTCTCCATATATTAATTAAATTCAGCATTATTTATTCAGTCTATTAGCTAGTCAGATATAGTGAGCAAGCAAAATAGATAAAACAAATGAAAGGAACCCAGGAGATGACTCCAGAGTGAAAAAGAAACAACAGTTGTTTTTGTTCTTCAGAAGACTTGAGATCTGAAAGTTATACATTGTGTGGAGCAAAAATTAGACAGGAAGAGGAGATGAAGGCCAGACTCTAAACCAACAGACTCTTCTCTTCTGAGTAGAGAGTTAATATACATGTGTGTGTGTAAGGATTAACAGAGAAAAATTCTTTACTGAGTTTTTGAAGGTTAAATCAGGTATTAAAAAAAAAAAAACAAAAAAAACACCTCAGTTTTCTGAAAAGGCTCTTAGTTTCAGACACAAAAGTCTCTCACGTGTGGGAAACATTTGATATCTATTACATGGTGTCATGACAGGTGTTTTGAATACTCTTAGATTTTCATTGGACTTCAGCTCAGCTTAACATGCTTCTCTCCTTCTAGTACATGCCAGCCACAACAGCTATGCAAGGAGCCTACATACCCCAGTACACGCATGTCCAGACAGCAGCGGTTCCTGTTGAGGTCAGTATGTGCTACAGAAGACCAGAGATAAGAGATACAAATATACTATTTTAAATTTATTTTATTGTTATTATTTGTTGCAAGGAGTATTGCCAGCTGAAGTGCTGTAACTGTGCATGTATTCTGACATGTTTGAAAGGTCCTAGACTTGAAGACCTAATTGCAAACATTGCAAGGAAATACAGATTGCAGGTAATGCTGTCTGCTTCTGTCTCACATCTTTTCTCCCTCTTCATTTTCAGGAAGCCAGTGGTCAACAGCAGGTTACAGTAGAGACGTCCAGTGACCATTCTCCGTACACGTATCAACAAAATAAGTAACTGTGAGGTAGGGGCTCCTCCTGTCACATGAAAAATGTGAATTTAAATATATATTTTTTTTCATAACATGCAGTACTCTGCACTGAAAGTTCTTGCACATATCATATAAATAACATTGTTAGTATCTGGGGGACAGACACTGAAATTAACATGAATTTGGCTAGAATTAGAAGTAAGGGAAAGGGAAAAGTGAGTTAATGAATTACAAATAACAGCACTTTGATACTTTCTCAATAGCATGTGTGGATTATATTCTATTTTATTAATCTTGTGTAAATCATGTGGTATGTAAGAAAAACAACGAGTTAGTATAAAAAACCTTTGTATCGGATTGGGAAGCAGCTTCACAGCAGACTTAGGGAGTACGCAGGTAGGTTCTGGTCTTTCAGAAATCTTTGCTGACACTCTTGCAAATTTCTGTGCCCATCCTTTATTCTAGGAAGTAGCAGTTTGGTCCAGAATTTTGTCAATTGAATTTTAATCGAAGTCCTGGATTGGCTTTAATTCCAGAGCTATTTATTTACTTTCCTGCTGCAGGTTTCCTATGACTCTGCTTGCATTCCTTACTGACCCTTCATTAGTTTTATCCTAACTCCTTCTGTATACCATTTATCTTTCAGTAGATCGCTATCCTGAAAATGCTGTTTGCACTAACCATCCCCTCCTTCATCCTCCATGCCTTAAATTACTGGAAGTTTGTTTTTCCCTAACACATCTTTTTCTGGGTGCGTTGTAAACCAAGCAACTGTTCTACATAATTTTTAAATCAAATTTTGTAAGACCTAACGCTAAATAATTTTATTCAACTTCAAGTATGTATGAGAGGTGGTCTTAGAAATGTTTTTTTCACAGCCCTCGTGGCATTCCTAACGTACTCAAAAACCTCACGCAGTTACACGCAAGGGTTCCCACTGGTGTGATGCTGTCTTTAAAACGCGCAGATCTAACAGTACACGCGTTTTGACATCACTTTTGATTCTGCAGGTCAACTGTGTTATTTGACAACACTGCTTTCATCCCTATTATTGGCATAACAGCTTCTTACATGTTCAAGTATGTGAAGATAGAAACAAACCAATTGGGAAACTTTGCACATTCAACAGCTGGCACGGTCTGCATAGCACAAAATATGACCTGTGTTTATTATTTTAGTCCGGCCAAACGCCAGCATCTAGAACAAGCCCACATCCTTGGTTTTCTTCCAAGGCAGGGAGAAGCAAAGCCACAGACTCTTTTCATTCCTCATCTCCTAGTGTTAAAACCATGGCTCCTGCATGCTTCCCATGCCAGGGCTATTGGCTGATGTTAACCACTTTTCAAGGAATTACTTGTTTTGCCGTTAAGTCTTCCCTGTGGGCACATAAAGCTTCTTTGTGAGCAGAGATCTGTAGTAGGTGGGACAACAGAATCCTACATGGCATCCCCACACTTCCAGCAGTGTGCCAGCCTCTTTCTCATAGATAGGGGCCATAGGAAGAGCAGCATGTAGACTCCTGAAGAGGGATCAGGTGTGCTGCAACCTGAGAAATGTTGTCTAACATTGACTCTGTAGCACACTGAGCTCTATGAGCAGCTGGTGGTGCTTGATGGAAGTGATAAAATCCTCCATGATTTTATTCCTAGAGAAGCTCTGCTGCCTGCACTCATCTGCGCAGGGAAATCTACAGCAGTGGGTGTAGGCACAAGGGGAAGGGTAATATTGCTCAGCTGATTTCAGCTCCGGAGTATGGCATTCGGTATTTCTGTCCTCAGAGCATGCCGGTACTTGTCATTTACCAGACAGGTGAAGGGGAGGGAACTGATGGTTATTTCTTGCCCTAAATACAGGGAACACTGTGGCCTCGTAATTGTTGTAGTTTTGTCACTGTTGACAAATGGAAGCTTTTTTCTAAATATGTGCACAGCACTTTTGGAGATGTGCTATTAAAAGTTGGGATATATTTTGCCCTGAATAAGTGGCAAATGACAACCAGCACACTAACATGAGTCAGTGCAGTCCGTCAGGAACACCCAGCACCTTTCCCTTGATGAATACACTTAATAGCTGTATTGTTTCTTGTCAACAAGTTGCTGCTATGTGAAAATAGTCAAAGGACTTGAAAATAGCGCAATATAATTTAATATGCACAATAATGTACAAACTTTAAATTAACACGCTGCCTTTCCTTGAAAAATTCCAAAATTGTCTTAACTTTTCATTAGCTGAATGTGTTTCAAAGCCCGTCTGATAACTTAATCTGATAGCAAATGGAAGAGCCTCCCTTCATGTTTAATGAGCCTCGAATTGCTGTTAAAAGTTAACCAGCGTGGAAGCACGGGAGCTGCCTGTGCTTTGGCTGTGGGGAGCTGTGCACAACCTCCCTCTTCTCGTCTCATCCAGAGATGGAAGCCTTTGGATGCAGCAGCAGTAGGCCCACTCACTCATCTGCTTTGGGTCGATTAAAAGCAACCAACAAGAAGAAAGTAGGCAGAGAGATAGCTTGGAACGCAGCCTCCCAGCTCCTCTGTGGGCATTCTGCATGCTTATCTTTATTAGAGGTAAAGGGGGAAAGCACAGTGGGGAGGCCACATGCTGGCAGAGAGCCGTATCCCAGCAAATGCCGAGCACCTGGAGTGCCACCTGGCTTTGCTTTTCAGATCTGTGCTCTGATTCACTCAGTCTGCTCCCAGCTGTCTAGAGGAGGAGGTGGTGCAGCTCACACACAGCCACGTTAGCAAAATGAATGCAGTTTGTAACCCTGCTGTAGCTCTGACTTTTCTGTGTTGCAGATGCCCGGTGTTGACCCGGCCTGGAGAAGGGTGCAAAGGCTGAAACAATCATGGATTTTACTGATCAATTGTGCTTTAGGAATTATTGACAGTTTTGCACAGGTTCTTGAAAATGTTATTTATAATGAAATCAACTAAAACTATTTTTGCTATAAGTTCTATAAGGTGCATAAGAAAAACCTTAAATTCATCTAGTAGCTGTTCCCATGAACAGGTTTATTTTAGTAAAAAAAAAAAATTTTTATCAAGTGTTACGACGCAAAAAAAAAAATTCAAATTTCTGGGTATGCACAGATGACCACGAAGACTATTCATGTGCATGACAGAATTTGTGTTTTGGTTTATTTTTATTTCCTTTCTTTCCTTTTATTTTTTTTCCTGTTTTGTTTGGTTTTTTTTTTTTTTAATTTTTATTTTTTTTTTTAATTGTATGAAATGGGTTTTCTGAAGTTTAAAATAGTAAAACATCTAGGATGATGTTCTGTGCTTGCAGTGTGTGAGTGTTGCTTTAGTGCAGTGTTGCAGTTATAGCGTCTGGTCTTTTAGCCTTCTGTTTTTCTTTTAATGTAGTGTGAAGTGTCTTATCCTTTTCTATGAATTCCAATTTGCCTTAAATCTTTCGATGCTGTAGCTATTTCAGTAAGTAGTCCAAACTAATGGTGTAGAATGCTTTGACCAAATGAGCTGGTCTATTATGCCTTGTAAAACAGCAGCATAGGGCTTTTAAAGGTAGTCAATAAAAATTGCTGAAAATTTGGCTTTTTTAATGTGTAGTAAGTGTTTTTAATGATTTTTCACATAATATGTAAGGTAGTGAAATGCAAGAGGGGAAAACTGTTTTGTGTGAAACACATTTTCTGATGGGGAAATTTTAATAGGATAAATCGTTTGTAAGGCCGTACGCCGATAGCTCCCTCTGGTAGTTCGGATGACTTAGGAACTCTGCTGTATGATGCAATGTAAAATCTTTTTTTGCCTTTTTTTTGGAAACTAACTCGATGTTCTAGTTTTAGTGTAGGTAGAATAGGGAGTTTGGGGTGGGGATCTCACCGAATGTTTTTGTCCTTTCTTTATACTAATGATAGTGCTTTAGGATGAGGATCGTACTGAGACTTAGCAAACACAAAAGTTGCTATTGCAGCAAAATGGCAAAAGCTAAAGGACTCGTTTTCAAACACAAGCTGAGATGCGAGGAGAAGCATAATTGATTGGGTACTAGCTCTCTATTGTAGGTAAATAAAAATAAAAAGACTTGGCACTTTTAAAAGGTAACTTTACCAAAGAACAAAGAGCCAGTAACCAATAATTCTGATTTGTCTCAGCATTACGTCTTCTGTACTCTTTATTTTTGCCGGACCAGTTTGCGGTTAGGAGAATGTGCCTTTTTTGTACATTTGCATTTAGGTTTTATAATTTTAATTGATGTATGGACACAAAAGCATGAAGGAAGACTTGGATCCAAGCAGTGCCACACTTTACATCATCACTACAAGTGTTAAGTGTAAAGAAAACCGATTTTGAAACTATGAAATTCCTGATTCATAAATACAGTTATTTGTACTTCACATATTAGATAATTCACTGCTACTAAAGCTCTTTATTACGATCGCATATGTTTTAAATCAAACGATAAATTAAGTTGTCTTCCAAAACTGTGTACTTCTCTGGTCAGCTGTATATGATCAGTTATCTACCTCAAAGTTTATTTCCTTTTGTATTGGGACAGGTTGCTGGCCCTCCCTGTTTCCACAGACCAAATCATCCTGGCTCAGGAGCTGGGGCTAACAGTTGTTTCTTTCGAGTATTTTTTAGTTTTTAAATTTTGTGTGAGTATTGGAGTATAGATGTCGGTGACATTTCATAGTTTCAAAAGTAAATTGCTGCTCTGAGAAGTGTAGATTCTAGTGAAATACATAGTCGTAAGAGATGTGTTTTTGTTTTTTCTTTTTTTGAAAAGTTGTGGTATTATTGGTTCTATGCTCCCTGGAATATTACTGCTTTGTCAAAGTCCAGACTTTCTGCAGCACCTTCCCTGGGTCGGGTGGATTTCCATGCCTGGATCTCTCACTACTTGATACTTTTGCGTTACTTCGAACCGCAGTATGATGGCTGTGTTAGAGGGCGGGAAGAGCTGCTGCCGAAACGTCTGAACTAAGTGCCATACTCATTGTCTGGGTAAGATTTGGGAAATTTAACCTCTGTACATAAAGAAATGATCAGTTACTTAAACATCACATAGTAGACAGCCATTAAATTATAAAAAATTAATTTATGAAGAAAGACCTTTTGTACAGATTGAAAAAAAAAGATTTTCATAGAGATATCTATATGATCAAGAGAGTTAATTTTTTATTTTTGTTTTACTAGTGCCACAAACTTGCCAGTGGTAACTTATTTGTCCGGTTCAAGATAACTCTGTAGTTTTGTTTCCTAGGACTTGTTGTTAAACGCCAAAATACATTTTTGAACTGTAAATTTGATTAGATTGTTAGCTTTTTTCTGTTTTATTTCTTTGAAAACTTTTGAATAAAAAAGATCCAAAAAAAGAAAAAAAAAAAAAAAAAAAAAGAAAATGCATCGTCTGTTTCCTTCAGCTGTTCCTTTACTGGGGAAAAAGCCCAACCAAGTTGTGGTGGAACCTTTGCCTTTAGGCCGAAGTGCTCAGCGATGCTCCATGCTTGGTGTGCAGGCTTTGCCCTCTGTCTTTTGCTACGGTCACATTTTAACTCTTTTGAAGCACATTACAAGTTCCTTACTCTTTCAGACAGAACAGGAAGTACTCATGACAAATACGTGGCCAAATGTAGCTGTTTGAATGCAAGAGCTCCTGTTCCTATGAGAGGTGTGCATTCACACTCTAGTGTGGATGCAGGCAGTGATTGGGGCAAAGCTCTCTGGTAGCTCCTCGCACTGAGCTGCAGCCAGAAGGACCCCAGTTCCAGCTGCACTGGAGCTGGCTGCAATACTCCGTTCTGGAGCGCAGTGCTTCAGTAGGATGCAAAGTCAGCCTGAGTGATCCTCTTCCAGCTGCATTCTGTAAGCATCTCTTTCCCTAAAGGTAATCTCCGATTTTTATCATCCTTTTGGCAAGATCATGCTGCTGATGCCGTGTATCAGAGGGCTGCCCTGTTTAAAGTAAGATCTGGAAACAAAATCAAGTTAAATATCAACCAGCTCAATGAAGGCTCTGCCACTCTCCAGGCCCACAATGCCGTGTGGTGCTGGCTCAGCAGGCTCTGACACATGGGCACTCCGGGGGGCAGAGTGGGGACTTGGGGACTCACTGCCAGGCAGCAGGGGGTGTGCTGCCCCAAAGAGCACTTCTTACATTCTCCACCTCTTTTTGACATGGTTCAAGTGCCTCACCAGCCCTGCACTGGGGCAGACAGCCTGTGAGATGGGTAGGTTGGGGCTACCCTACAGGCACAGCCCAGGCTTCCACTGCACGACACTGAGATATTGAGACTGTTTTCGGTAGAACAAACAAAAGGGACTCACCTACAATTAGAAAACAGCAATTTACAGCAGCTTTGGCAATAAAAATGTCCACGACAACAATGGCTCTTATCAGTGAAAAAAGAAAAGCCTCATACTCTGTGCTACTAACAGGACAAGTCTCCTGTAGCTGAAAAAATACCAGGTTGCTATTTTGTGGTAATTTAAATGCTAGCCCAGCGTGTTGCTTATGTAAAATATAATGGATGAATGCAGCAAACTTCTAAGGGGTTTTGTTGCATTGTTCCTTTCACCATCGTATCAAGTTAATCTCACAAGCAGCCCTTCTGAGTTAAGTACAAATGCTCCCTTACAAAAGCTTTATGGAAGAGTCAGAATAATGTGGGTTGGAAAGGCTTTCTCTATCTATTTGTTTTTCTAATTAGTGCTATGATAAACCTACCTCTCTGTAAGTCCAGCTGTATTTGATGAGAATGAAAGCTTGCATGTAAGTACCCTTTGCCTGTTGGAATAAGCCTGTGCATATCATTTCTATCAGACAATCTGCAATAGTGCAATATCCTTATGTAATATGCTTTATTATATGTCATAAAATTAATCTATTACCTGCTGCCTTGTTCAAACATCAACTCCACCCCGATGCTCACAGTTTGGTTTTGAACCCTGCTTGCAAACACGCTGTTAACACAGTCCTGTTAACAAATACCAATAAACACTGTATTCATGTACAGTGGTTTTATCCTAACACAAATACTTTGTGCAAGATTATGGACTGACCCTATTGCTTGTTGGCTGTTAGTGATTAGAAGCTAGTCTTTGTGTAGGGGTTCAATAAAATATTTTAATTTCCTCTGTTCTCTAAATTAACTGAGCTGAGTTATTGCAAGCAGTGCACTAGCTGCAAGTTAACAAAGTGCTGTTGATCAGCTGAGCTCTGTTAGTGACTGTTTGCGTATATTGGCCTAGAATAATTGTGACATAAGTCACAGTAGTTTAAAGCACTTTCCCAGTACTCTCTGTCTGGTTTTCACAAAAGTAATAGTAACAGTGAATAGATCATAGGTACTGCTTTCCCTTCTGAGGTTAATTTATGTCACGGTGCCTCCACCACCCTAGACAACCTGGATGATCAACCGAAACAGTGCCAACTCACTCTCCTTAGAAACAGCTGACATCATGAGAAATCCTCTTTGTGAGCCGGAGCCTTTCTATGCATTCATTACTCCTACTCCTCCCATGCACACAGCACTGCACCTGCTCCTTTTGCTTTGATCAACCATTCCAAAATTATTTGCAAACTTTCACATGCTTTGGAATAAGATGCTCATTCGTACCCTGTCCAGCAATCCCTTATTGTGCAAGCCCATGTGTTATGTGATGGCATTTAAGACATGTGTGCTGTTACCTTCCAAACACTTGCAATACTGACGTAGTCTTTCAACTGTGAAAGATCATCTGTACCATATCCTAGCCAACAAATTCTGGCGTTGATTAACCCAAACAAATCTGAGGCTTTTGGCTTTCGCTCTTGGGTCATTAATTCTATCCAGAATAGGGGTTAGAATATACAAAGCCTATTCTGTTTGGCAGCATCTCCTCCGTCTCCTAGGGAAAGCCAAACTGATGTCAGAACAGTGAAGATTTACAATGCAGTGACCAGAGAGAGTAAGTAAAAGTCTGCATGTGGAGTGAGTAAGTTTCCTTTTCAGGACAGCTCTAACTGCATCTACTGTCTGAGAAAGCCTTGCAGCTCTTTTCTGCAATCAACAAGAAACCATATCACAGGAAAATACCACTGGAGTTTTTCATCTGCCACAGAAGAAAGGATGATTTGTCAGCAGGCAAGCTTGGGCTGCTTGCATTGTCCATCTTGCCTTTTCAATGGTAGCCCTTCACTCCATGGTTACATCAGTATTCTTCTGAATTCTGCTCAATTTCATCAGTCTCCTTTCAGCTGAATTATATGATATTTTCCAGCAGCTTCACTGGGATAGAAAAAGGTATGTTATAAACTCAGTGACTGAAGGGATGTGGCACCTTAGACTTCCTGCAGGTGCTCAGGCCAACCTGCACAGGCAACTGTACAGGTAGCTTCACTGCTTCAGAGACTGTTTTGGTAGTGTTCCAAAAAGTAACAAGGGAAACACATTTCTGCATATACGTTCCACTGATTGTAAAGAAGCAATTTGCAATAGGAATTTTTCCCAGTGATTTTCCCAGCTAACTACATGAAATTTAACACCTGATATACCATTAATGCATTCAAGCAATATCTGTAAAGTGCATAAGGGTAACAGAAAA